AGTGACTGCGTGGGGACTTCTAACTTTCCAGAAAACAACAAAGCATCATGCCCACCTTCCTCTCAAAGCAATGCCAATGAAAGCCAATTAAAACAGAATATCCCAAACCTCAGAACATAATGCAAAAACATCCATCAAGAATCACTTAACACCAGGAAGAACAAGAAAGACCTCAAAGCAGAGTGGGAAGAAAAAAATCAAAATAGAGGCTAACATCGAGTTGACAAACATGTTAGAATTCTCTAATGTTTTAAATTGACGATAATAAAAAGACTTCAAGCTATTACACTTTTGAAACAAATGAAAAGGAAAAAAATCAGCAAAGAAATAGAACCTATAAAGAAAAACCACACAAATGTTATAACTAAAAATAAATAAGTAACAGAAATAAGAAGCTCAGTGCATGGGCTCAAGAGGAGAATGGAGGGATCCGCAGATGGCATAATGGTTATGTCACTGGACTCCCACGTAGATGATGTGGTTCAAGTCCCAGACCCGGACCTGGGCTTAAACTCACCCAGGTGCGTGTGTGTGCATGCTCAATATCCCAAGAAGAGAATGGAGGAAAAGGGACTGTGGTGTGGTCATCCCTCCTCAGGGGTGATCTCTGTTAGCTTTGCCATTATGAATGTTCTAAATTCTTTATCAGACATTTCCATGATTTCCATTGAACTGTGTGTGGATGAAGAGGTATTTTCTGGCTTTTCCATATTTCTTGTGGTCCTGTGGTGACTTCTAGTCATCTGATGGGTGGTGTGTTTCTTCCTAATTCTTGAAGTTCAATTTGAACGTTCAGGAGCAAGCAGAAAGAGGTGATTTGAAATCTCTTTGCCATTCTGTTGTGATCGTTTTGTGCAGCAGATTCAGTAGATATCAAGGAATATGTTAACCATAATAGTATTTGGATGTTTAGCTACAGTGCCTTTAGATCCATCTAGAAACACAGTAAATGGATATTGAGGAGTGGAGAGAGGAGAAAAAAGGAAACGAAAAAGAGAAACAACATAAAAACAGAAAAAAAGGGAAAAAAAATTATAATTATTATTTTTTTAAAAAGCACAAAATAGAAAAGGGAATTATTAGCAAGACAAAAGGAGGAGCTGAGAGCAAGAGAAAACTTTACCTTTAAAAAAATTTAAAAAAGGAAGAATTAAAAAAAATGAGAAGACAGAAACAGGGAGAGACAGAGACACAGAGATCGAGATAGAAGGCTAGAGGAGCTCCCTACCATTCTAGCTTGTTTGCTGGAGGCTGAATTATCAGTAGGAAATCTTCATTTCTCTTTTACCCTGGAATGAGGGTATCCTAGTTCGCAGGAGCCATGATGAATCTTCCAGGATAGTTTTCTCTTTTAACAGTTGGTCATATGTATTTCAATAACAATGGATTATTCTTCCTTTCTAAGGTGGATGAGCTTATTTTTTTCTACTACATTTAGGCTTCCATTTTTGGAAATGGAAAATTTTGTTACTGGAGAAAAGGTTCCTTACTGACTGGAAGAAGATATAATGGGGTTAATTAAGACTGATATACTGCCACTTAGAGATGTGCTCTTAATAGCGAAGTTCATTTTGACTGCCAAATTTTGTCAGTGGAAATAAAATACTGAGAGTTTTTTGTTGTTGTCATTTTTTTGCTATAGGGCATGTGTGCTTGACAGAGAGAGAAATTGAAAAATCAGCCCTCTGAGAAGATCGCCACACCACAACCCCTTCTCTTCCATTCTACTCTCTAGATTTTGGCCACACACGCACACGTGCCTGGTATGATTTTCAAGCCACCGGGTCTGGGACTCAAACTGCATAGCTGGCCATGTGAGCCCCAATGCTTTAACCTCCAGGCTACCTGCTGCCCCTAAATTGAGATTTTTAAACTTGGTTTATAAGTCTTATCTGCAGGAAGTAAGATAAATTTTATAAATTCTACTTTAAAAATTTGCCACTGAAAAACAGTTTAGACCACAGAAGATTCAGAGGAAGTACACCATGCTGTTAATGGTTGTGTTTTCATGATTTTCTTTTAGATTTAGTGAGGGAGACATAAAATCCAAGTGTGAGAAGGAAACCTGCAAGGAATATAATAAGCTGTTTCTTCCCTCAACAGACTTCCAATCATACCAACCATGACCACAATATGTTGTAATCAGGCCTGGCTGTGTCCCTGAGATGCTCTGAACAGTCCTTCTCTCCTATGGGGTTATTGGGAATACTGAAGGAGTCTGTTCTTAGTAATCTGTGGTCTGGCCACCAGTTCTATTAGTTCACTTTTGCTGAGGAGGAAGAGAAGACAGAGTGAGAAGAGGATAGAAGTGTTTTTGTTCTCTGAGGCAGGCACCAACACTCACATAATCCATAAAATTAATATTATTATGTTAAAGGATATTCAAATGCATATTAACATATACAAACACACTCAACCTTTTATTTATTTATTTATTTTTTTAAGAGAGATTTTTGCTATAGGCATGTCTCCCCCTGGAGAGGAAGACTGAGAAAGAGAGTGAGATGGGGATGATGGCCAGGCCGCAATCCTTTCTCTTGGGATTCTGGACATGCACACCCTGGTACCTGGCCTGAGTTTTCAAGTTGCCAGGTCTGGGACTCAAACTGTGGTCAACCATGTGGAAGTCCAGTGCCTTAACCACTACACCACCTGCAGGTTTTGGGTTTTTTTTTTGTTTGTTTTTTAATCTTGTTAATGGGCAAAGGTCAAGGAAGTTGATAAGACAGTGGGTGGTTGGCAAGCTGTAGGCATATATTTCCATGCCTTAGTTTCTAGTGGAATAGATGTCATCATAATACCTGGTGTTAGCGCTAAAACTGATGTTAACTTACATACAAGCTAGTCAGTTAGTCTGTCACTCTTTCTTGGATGCTGGAATAAGACAAAAGGCCCCTGGAACAGAGACAAAGGACTTCCTGGGCTGGCTTGGTGGCTTAGCAGTAAAGCATTGCTCAAGCGATACTGGATCCATATGGAAGGTGGCAGGTTTGGTTCTCCAGTTGACCTGTACATGCTGAACATGTGTGCCCATGACCCTGGCTGGCTCAGAAAGTTCGAGTGGGGAGATCAGTTGAGACTCTGTTAAGGGTGCTTAATGTAGCTTTCTGTCATTAATTCTCATGTAAGGAAAAAATTAACTAAAAAAAAAGAAGGGCTTTATTTTTCCTATCAGAGCACATAACAGGAGTGTACGCATGTTAGCCCTTGGTCCCAAGTCGCAAGGGGCAGCATGGAAAATCCAGATGGATTCTGCTGAGGTAGTCTGACCTTGGGGAAATCTACATTTTTTTTTCCCAAAGAATTATTTATTTAATTCCATTTGTTATTATTACTTTTTAATTTGACCAGAGAGAGAGAGAGGGAAAGCAAAACAAGCTACCAGGTCTGGGACTCAAATTGCGGTCAGCCATGTGGGAATCCAGCGCCCTTAACCACCATGCCACCTGCCAGTTTCAGAATCTACTTTTTATAGCAAGCAGTAAGAACACTGCTCTTTGTCCTGGAAAGATATTACTTTTTTTTTTTTTTTTTTTGAGAGTTTTTTGCTATAGGGCGCGTATGCTCGCCGAACAGAGAGAGACCGGGAGACAGAAAGTGAGAAATCATCCCCCGGGGGGATGGTCACGCCGCAATCCCTTCTCCTCCATTCTCCTCTCGGGATCTTGGGCACGCACGCACACGCGCCCGGCGTGAGTTTAAGCCACTGGGTCGAGGACGCGAACCGCGGTCGACTATGTGGGAGTCCAGCAACAGAGCCATTATGACAGTTGCTGGTCCCCCAGACTTAACTTTTGAACAAACAATTTTACTTCTAGAAATCTGCCCTACATACTTCCTTCACATACCAAAAAGGATGGCTGTAAGAGATAATTTACCCTAATACTCTGCTTATAACACAGAGATCAGAAACACGAATGTACATCAGTATGAGATGGTTTGATTATAATACCTTCATGATAAAACACTACGTGGTAATGATAAAGAGTGAAGATTTTAAAAAATTTGTTTATTTACCTTTATTTATTGTTATTATTATTCAGTTTGATCAGACAGAGAAAGAGAGAGGTAAAGTGAGAAAGCAAGCCACCAGGTTCAGGACTTGAACTGCGGTCAGCCATGTAAGAGACCAGTGCCTTTAACCACTATGACACCTGCCAGCCCCTGAAGATTTTTTTTTTTTTTTTTTTTGAGATTTTTGGTATAGAGTGCATGTGCTCGATGGAGAGACAAAGAGCAAGAAATCATTCCCCAGGGAGGATGGCCACACCACAGTTCTTTTTTATTTATTTATTTTTTTTGGAGAGTTTTGCTATAGGGTACGTGCGCTTGCCAGAAAGACAGAGAGAGACAGAGAGATAGAAAGTGAGAAATCACTTCCCGGGAGGATGGCCATGCTGCAATCCCTTCTCCTCCATTCTCCTCTCAGGATCTTGGGCACGCATGCACGTGTGCCTGGCGTGAGTTTAAGCCACCAGGTCTGGGACTCAAACCGCAGTCAGCTACATGAGAGTTCAGCGACATAGCCATTACACTAACTGCTGGTCCTCACATAATTCTTTCTCCTCCATACTCCTCTTGGGATTTTTGGGTACACACACATGTGGCCTAAGTTTCAAGACGCCAGATCCAAGATTCAAACTGTGGTTGCCTATGTGAGAGTCCAGGACCTTAACCATTATGCCATCTATTGACCCTATGAAGAATTTCTTTATATGCTAATCAAGATTGCCAACATGCATTGTCAAGTGAAAAACAAAAAAGAAAAACAGATGCAGAAAAACAGGCATAACATTTTCCCATTTCTAAAATTAGAGGCAGAATCCAGGCCCTTCCTGAGCAGGGCCCGAGCTGGGAGGCTCCCATTCTCTCTGTGAGTGTGGCTCCATCAATGCTGCAACCCGGGCTGCATGCGCACCATGGGGAATACAGGGGGTCACAGCGTGCTGATAACAGCAAAAACTTACACATGCTAACAAAACATGATGCCAACCAAGAGATTTGGATTCAAAATTTTAATAATAAATTGTGCCAGTAGAAGCTTCTCAAAGGCAATGATATATCAATAAATAATAGTTAAATTGAGTTCCTGAGAAAGAACCTACCACATGAAAGTATGTCAGAGCGCTGTAAATAACAACATGGCATTACTATAAAATAGCAAAAATACTGACAGTCACGATTACAAGCACAGCAGACTTCAGAATATGCCATTCATACAAATGTAAACCAGTACACAGGAATCGTTTTTTTTTTTCTTTTTTAGTTTAGACACTGATAAACTTTTAAGTTTGTTGCCTAGGTATATACTAAATAATGGATACATTACGCTAAGGACGTCAAAGGAAAAATATGTGGAATAATATAATGAAAAATATGATGCATCAGATTTTTTAAAAAGCAAAAAAGAATTGAACTTTTTACTCAAATATAAATCACTTTAAATAGGAATCATACTAATTTGAAATAAGAAATATTTTGTGTGTTTATCTATATAGTATATATATACCTATAGGTCTAAGAAAATATGTATGGCTTAATTATTTTTTATTCCAATATCACTTTGAAGAATATTTGCTTTCTACAAAGGTTAGAAAAGTGTATTGTTTAAACCAAGTTAATACTTGACACTTCAAAGCATACTTAGAAAAAATATGAAAGAACCCTAAGATTACTCAATTTCATCATGGTAACATCTCAGCTGTCTAAGATAACAGGAGGAATAACCTTCATTTAACCTTCCAGGGTGGGCAGTCTGTTGGTAAAAAATTTAATAGTAGGATCATAGCTATTAAATTCCACATACCAGCTACACCAAGAATGCAAGAGCTTACAGACTACAAAAATGCACATAGGTCCATAATTAACATATTTTTGGCATAGCTGAATCAATCCCTTTTGATGTATATAAGTTTAGTACACGACAAATGTTTAAGTTTATCCCCAAAATAATTCAATCATACCTAAGACACACACACAAAAAGCCACCTCTGAGTCACAAATCTGCATTTTTTTTTTTAACAAAACAGTAAGGGATACAATCATAGAGAAGTCACCCACGCGATACATTATCAGCACACTGTCTAGAAAACCTCATTTAAAGACACTCAGTAAAAACATATTCACAGGACCTGCTGTGAACGGCAAGATATGGTAATTTTATAATAGAAGAAACCCTGCTCGTGCAGTACTCTCCACACACCAGACATCTGAAACCACACCCATATCATCACCTTGCTCACACTTTCTATTACACTATAATATGCAAAAAACAAAAAAAAAAAAAAAAAAAAAAAAAAAAAAAAAAAAAAAAAAAAGCAGCTTTTAACATATCACATCACAATTTTGAAATGTGGGAAACAATAAAAACAAAAACCATTGCGTGAATAAAATGGTCTCCGTGACTTCTGAGCAGAGTTAACTTTTTGTGTTGTTTTTATATTATTGCACAGAGATTTATCACATGTTCTTCAGTTTCTATGTCTTTTCCTAAATGTGAGTAAGTGCTATGGATAACATACAAATGTAGAAAATAACAGCAGCATGATTTGTCAAAGTTAATCCCTATAATTTAGTAAGAAAAAAATTGGGTAATAAACAAAATAAGTGCTCTTTCTAAATTGTACTAAAATTTTAAAATATTGTTTTAATGCAGTGAAGGTCCTCAAAAACCAATTCAAAGTAATGTTGTCTCTCTCCACTTCCCATCAACTAGAATCTAGAAATGAAGATCTCGACTTGAGTCCTTTCTTGTTTGTTTTGGGCTTTCTTGGCGAATAACAGGATTTCGGGTAAAGTAACAATAGACTAATGTAAAACAAAGCTGCCCTCAGCTTCATCAGCCTATTCAATGCCCAGCCGGGCACCAGGACCTCTGAAGAAGAGAGCTGCAGGTGCCCCACTATCATCTACACATACACTGGCTGGCAGCCTTCGGTCTGGTCCACCAGATCAGAGTTCTCTAAATCGGAGTTCTCGGACTGTGACGCTTCTGCTCCTGAAGGTTTGGGGCATCTAAAGGGATAGCCATTGTCATCAAAGAACCTTCGGAAAGTGAATTCATAGAACGCATGCTCAGGGTGCTTGTTATTGGGGGAGTTAAGTGTGTCCCAGGCCTTGGCACTGCCTTCACTGGCATCATTCCAAGGGCTTTCTTCATCTACAGGGTCAAAATTTGAGGTGTCCATGGGGTGGCTGATTGTGGGAACATAGGGGGCTGGCTGCTTCCGGATGTCACTAGAGAAGTCAATGGTGCTGAAGAACGGGTGGGCCTTCAGGTCGTCAGCTCCCTCCTTCCCCAGGCGATGCTCCGCAGCACAGCACAGTTTGGTGATGAGGTCCCTGGCCTCGGGGCTCAGCTTGACCTGGGCAGGAATGTGGAGTGTGTTCTCCCAGTTGATCACCTGAAGAGACAACAGAACTGAAGGTGTAGTTTCTCCTCACATCTAGGAGAGTTTGGGGACAGACTGTGGTGACCTGACTTTAAAAAATTATTCATTTTATCAGTTAGAACACACACAGAAGCCACAATTGGTGATGTGAGAAGCTACAAAAGGTGAGTGTGGTTATAGTAAGCGGCTCACAGGCTGGGATATGGGGTGATGAAGCCAAATGCAAACAAAAAGGTATTGATTTTCTTCTGTCAGAAATACTGTTTAGCTGAAGAACTGTGCTTTCCACAAAAATGTAAAGACTGCTCTGAGACATTTCTTCAGTTATGGCAATAACTGGATTTCTAATGAACCATCATTCAGCATTTATTGTGGCCAAGAGATGGTCAACTAGGGTTTTGTGAGGAAAAAAAAAGTAATCTCACAAAGAATAAAGCTGATTCAATCTGTGGCTTTGGCCTTTGTTCATAATATTCAACTGCACAAACTAGCCACCTGAATTTTCAGTAAATACATTTGTCCCAGAGATGTGCTTCCTGTAAGAAGAAAAGCTAAGGAACTTCTTCATTGCTTATACTTAGAATGAGAATGACACAAGGCCAATATAGCCAGCTACCTGCTAGGGTAGTGGGATAATGAGTGTATGGGTGGGACGCTTGGTTTAAACCTAAGTATTGGGTCATTAGAGAAGTCATAATTTATTTTTGCACAGAAAAACATGGAAAAATATGTCATGATTTTCCTGATGACCTAATAGTTATTTTAGTAGAGCTAAAACTAAAACTTGTAGAAGAAAACATAAAGCAAAACTTTCATGACAATGGATTTGGCAACAATTTCTTGGATATAATACCAGAAGCAACAAAAGGAAAACAAATTGGATGTCATTGAGAATTTAAAAAAACTTTTATGTATCAAAGAATATTATCAACAGAGTGAAAAGGTGTTCCATGGAATAGAAGAACGTATTTGCAAAGCATGTATCTGAAAAGGAGTTAGTATCTAGAATATATAAAGAAAGACTACAAGTGAACAATGACAACAAAAAAAGAAATAACCCGATTTAAAGAGTAAAATATTGGAATAGATAGTTCTCCAAAGAAAATATACAAATAGCCATAAGTACATGAAAATACGCTCAATATCATGAATTATTAGGGAAATACAAATCAAAACCACAGCAAGATACCACTTCACACTGACTATGATGGCTGCTATTAAAAAATAAAAAAAGCAAGTGTTGGCAAGGACATGGGAAAAGTTTTCAATTAGCAATAATCGCGCCTTGGATAAATCTCATTGGCTACGATACTGCCACTGAGCAAAGCTGGGGACATGGGAAAATTAGAACCCATGTGCTCTGTTTGTGGTACTGTAAGGTGCTATAGCTGCTGTTCCGAGCAGTTCCTCAGAAGAGTTAAGCATAGAATGATCACACTGATTGGCAATTCCACTTCTACATATATATATATAAAATACCTGGAAGCAGGGACTCTACACCATGTCACAGCAGCTCTTTCTGCAACTGCCAAAAGGTGTAAAGAATTCTGGTACCCACAGAAGGGTGAATGGATAAACAATATGTGGTCTATACACACAATGAACTACATGGCCTACTCAGCCTTAAGAAGAAAAAAAATTCTGATATATATTACCTCATGGATGAATACTGAACACGTTATACTAAGTGAAGTAAGGCAGTCACAAAAAAATTAAGTATGATTCTGCTTACATGATGTACCTAAAATGGTCAAATTCATATAACAGAATAGAGGTTAGCAGGAGGTGGGGAGAGGGGAAAATGAGCTGGTTAATGAGGACAAAGTTTCCATTTTGGATGATGGCCTTGGATAAATCTCATTGGCTACGATACTGCCACTGAGCAAAGCTGGGGACATGGGAAAATTAGAACCCATGTGCTCTGTTTGTGGTACTGTAAGGTGCTATAGCTGCTGTTCCGAGCAGTTCCTCAGAAGAGTTAAGCATAGAATGATCACACTGATTGGCAATTCCACTTCTACATATATATATATAAAATACCTGGAAGCAGGGACTCTACACCATGTCACAGCAGCTCTTTCTGCAACTGCCAAAAGGTGTAAAGAATTCTGGTACCCACAGAAGGGTGAATGGATAAACAATATGTGGTCTATACACACAATGAACTACATGGCCTACTCAGCCTTAAGAAGAAAAAAAATTCTGATATATATTACCTCATGGATGAATACTGAACACGTTATACTAAGTGAAGTAAGGCAGTCACAAAAAAATTAAGTATGATTCTGCTTACATGATGTACCTAAAATGGTCAAATTCATATAACAGAATAGAGGTTAGCAGGAGGTGGGGAGAGGGGAAAATGAGCTGGTTAATGAGGACAAAGTTTCCATTTTGGATGATGAAAACACTTGGAGGGCTGGCTCCATAGCACAGTGGGTTAAGTGCTGTGCATTGAGAGCCAGATCCCACATGGCTGACTGTGGTTCAAACTCTGGCCCCAGCAGCTTAACAAACATGCTGGGCATGTATGCATGTGTGACCAAAATCCCGACAAGATGGAGAAATAAAGGAGGGGGAGCGGGGCTGTGGCATGACTATGCCCCACTGTGGGGTGTCTCTGCTGCCCTCCTCGTGTGCTTTCTCTCAGGTGAGCGCACATATTCCATCAATTAAAAAAAGAAAGAAAAAAATTAGAACTAGAAAGTGATAAGGGTCATACACTGTGAATGTGCTTAATGCCATTGAATTATCCACTTAAAAATGGTTAAAATGGTAAATTTTATGTTATGTATATTTTACCACAATAAACAATAATCTGGGTTATTATCATCTTGGCAAATTGATGAATGGCTCAGCAATTCAATTAGAATGCAGATACTGCATCCTGTTTTTATCATTCCTAGAGTGAAAATAAACCTAGGCTCTACCCTAGACTCCAAGGTGAAAATTTCCTATAATTGTGTATTAGTTGGTAAGTGTACTGAAGATTTCAGATTCTTTTTCTTAAAAAAAAAAAAAAAATTATTTATTTATCTAATTCCATTTGTTATTATTATTTTTTAAGAATTATTTTATTTAACTTTATTTATTTATTTTAATTTGACCAGAGAGGGACAGAGTGAGAGCGAGAGAGGAAAGTGAGAAAGCAAGCTGCCAGGCCCGGGACTCGAACCACACAGCCATATGGGAATCTAGTGCCTTTAACAACTATACCACTTGCCAGACCAAGATTTCAGATTCTTAATTTGAATTCTCAGTTATATCTTTAACTTACTAATAATTTCAGAAAGCAAATGGCTGTCATTAATTATTTAGTATTAAATGACTAATTGACAGAATCACTATTTAATTACTTCAAATGAATATTAAGAACGTGCACAACTGGGGACCAGCAGTTAGCATAATGGCTATGTCAATGGACTCCCATGTAGTCGACCACGGTTCAAGTCCCAGACCCGGTGGCTTAAACTCACGCCAGGTGCGTGTGCGTGCGTGTCCAAGATCCCAAGAGGAGAATGCGGGAGAAGGGACTGTGGTGTGGTCATCCCCCCCGGGGGGTGATTTCTCGCTTTCTATCTCTCAGTCTCTCCCTGTCTGTCTGGCGAGTGCACATAACAAAAACTTCTAAAAAAAAAAAAAAAAAAAGAATGTGCACAACTAATCTGACTACAGAGCTGATAAATGAAAAACAATCATGATGTAACACCCAAATAAAGCGCTCTTTTTAGACCTAGTTTATGGTGGAAGTGCACGCCTCTTCTGCTTCTCACTATTTATAGTTCTTGCCTGGAAATAACAAGATAGCAGATGGCCAATAACAAAATTTCAGATAGACATCCCATAACCAAATTTAGGCCCAACTCTGTGGCTTTATCAAAATAAAAATTTGAAAAACTTACAAGCAATTAAAAAAAAAGATAACATTACTTAAAAATATTCCGTGATATACAACTGTCCTTCCTACCCTACTCAGAATAAAACAGCAGATGCTGACCAAGGATTCATGGACGTATCAGAAAAGCAAGCAGGTACATGGTTTTGCCCCAGTTACCTTCAGCTGAGTTTCTGTGGGAGTAGGGGCCAAGAAGGGTGGTTGCCCCACCAGCATCTCAAAGAGAATCACTCCAACGCTCCACCAGTCACAGAGTTGGGTGTATCCTGAAAGACAAAGTTCAATCTCAACACAGGCAGGACTTCTCCTCAGAGGTGAATTCTATAAAATCCTAACAAACGGATGTAGTGCTCAGTGGGAAAACATGCTAATGAAGCACCATGCTACATAAAAGAAGCTAGAGCCACATAAGAGTCTCCTTGCAGGCTGGAGGCGGCTCACACCAGAGCACTAACAGTCATCACGGGGCCGACAATCACTTTTCTTTTACTTTCCATCACCTGTGAAAAACACAGGATGCTTTTTAAAAAGAAAAGACTTAATTTTAAAAGATTATTGCTATTGTTAACAACACTAGTTACTAACCAGAACTTTTACTTAAGAATTACACAGATACACATTTAAATAACAGAAATGGAAAATGTCAAGTAGGAGATGCTGCCTATTTCTGGGTCTATGACACAGAATCAGAAAACGCCCCACTGTGCACACACCATGCAGGATCACTGAAGGGTTCCTCTCATACGGAACCAGGTGTCATATCTGATACAACAAAGTTTATTGAGCACCAATAATTTTACTGTCCATAAATCGTGCCTTCCAGGCACTTCCAGTCCAGCAGAATTAGAGGAAAATAACGTTTGTATGCTGTAATACTCAATACCCAGCTGGATGTGGTGCAACTAGGCGAGGGATCTGGGCAAGAAAGTTAAAGCTGGAGTCTAGAAATGCCTGGTTTACACAGAGTCAGCTGTAGTCCTGCGGCCCCAGAGTTGCATCATTTGTTTCTGTAAAAACTAGTTCTTGGGTCATTCTCTGGGCAGGATAACACTGGCCAAGGGTGTGTGTCTTCCATCGCTCCTAGAAGCAACGGTGCTTCCAAAAGAGAAGGGAAGGGAGATGTGCTGGAGGCTTGAATGTTAAGGGCAAAACTATGACTGGAATGGCGAGAGCTTCGGAGAGCTGGATCTGGGAAGATGCTAGGGCTCACCTGGCTCTAGGGCCTGAGGTAAAGATCCTGAGCTGGGCGGCTGGCTGTGGAGCGCTGGAGGCCGGCAGCCCAAAGCACGTACCTTTGCGGAGCAGCACCTCCGGGGCGATGTAATTGGGAGTCCCGACCAGGGAATGTGCCAGACACCTCTGATGCTGCTTCCGTGCTCTCTGCTCCAGGGTCTTCAGCCTGTCCCCACAGCGACAGTTAGACACATCGTCCCAGAGGTCGCTGGGTTCCATGCTGTCCTGTCTGATGTGGTTCCCTTTACCCAGGAATCAGAGGGAAAGAAGAGAACAAGAAAGTAAATTTTCACGATCTGACAGTGTGCCAAATCCATAGCTTAAGACAGAAAAGGCATTCAAATCTGCTACTGATACATTAGGACAAAGAATCCTCCCCTACGGCTCTGTAGGAGCAGCCTTCTGTCCTGGACCTGAGACGAGTCCTGAGAACACCAGCACCAGGGCAGAAGGACTGGCTGAAGCGCTTATGGAAATCTGTACATTGTGCAGGGCTGGCAATGACACACTGTGAAGAGGAAAGGCCAGAGAGCTGTGAGGCAGCATCCTGAGCACTTCTCTGGCCAGGGTCAGAATAACTCCTGTCAAATAAGACATGCTTTAAGATGAGCATGGAAAAACCTAAAAGGACTGAAAAAACATGAACAAAAGTGACTTTTGATACTAGATAATGAGAATCATTTAGGGTCAGTTTTGATTTAAAAATAAAGGTACGATCTATGGTATTAAAAAGATTAAAAAAAATAAAGATTACTTTAAAAATCTCTAACCAGGTCAGCCCCCATAGCCTACTGGTTAAGAGAGTCAGATTCCACATGACCGACTGTGTGGTTCAAATCTCAGCCCTGGTGAAAAAAACATACCAGGTGTATTATTTGTGTGTGTACCCCAAATCCCAGTAGGATGGAGAAATGGAGAAGAAGGGATTGTAGCATGACCATGCCTCATTAGGGGTGCCTTCTCCCTCTGACTCTGTCTCTCTGTGGTGAGCACATGTGCCCTCTGGCAAATTTTAAAAAAAAGAAAGAAAAAGGGACCAGCTGATGGTGTAACAGTTATGTAGCTGGACTCCTACGTAGTCAACTGTGGTTCAAGTCCCAGACCTGGCAGATTAAAAGCTCATGCTGGGTGTGTATATGTGCATGCCCAAAATCCCAAGAGGACAATGGAGGAGAAGGTTCTACAGTATGGCCATCCCCCTAGGGGGTGATTTCTCACTTTCTGTCTCTCTGTCTCTGGTGAGCGCATGCGCTCTATGGCAAAAATCTCTCAAAAAAAAAAAAAAAAAAAAAGACAGACAGACAGACAAAAAAGGAAAAGGAATCCCAGTCATAATGCCCAGCCATTTCTGACTTTTCTAAATAGACAACCATGAGAAATGATGTTAAACAACACACTTGACACTTTCAGGTTAGCTCTCAGAGAGAACTTGCTGGGAGATTGTGAGACATTTTTTTTTTAAGTTTGTTTCATGAAAGTAAGAGAAAGAAAAGCACCTTCAACAGGGCCTCACAGCACAACCCCATCCCTAGCCTTTTAAGAGGACCAGAAAAATGGGAGTGCACTTGGCATACACAGTCAACTAGAGTTCCAAACCCATGATCTTCCACATGATCCAGCTTTGCTTGAGTAGAGCACACTACCACTGTGCCACCAAGCCAACCATGAGAGATATTAAATTATTATTTTTAAAGAATTATTTATTTATTATCATTATTTTTAAAAAATTTGCTACAGGACACATGTGTTCACCAGAGACAGAGAAACAGAATGGGAAAATTAGGGCAAGCTGCCAGGTCCAGGACTAGAACGGCAGTTGGCCATGTGGGAGTCCAACACCTTAACCATTGTGCTACCTGTTGGCCTCTTTAGGGTCCATTTTAATTAATTAATTAATTATTATTTTATTTATTTTTAAAATTTTTTTTAAAAGAGGTTTTTGCTACTGGACGTGTGCGCTCGCCAGAGACAGAAAGCGAGAAATCACCCCCCAGGGTGGATGGCCACACCACAATCCCTTCTCCTCCAAAAAAAAACTCCTCCATTCTCCTCTCGGGATCTTGGGCACACACACACACAGCGTGAGTTTAAGCCACTGGGCCAGGGACTCGAACTGCGGTCGACTATGTGGGAGTCCAGTGACATAGCCATTATGCTATCTGCTAGTGGCCTAGGGTTCATTTTAATAAGTGTAATGACAGTTCCTCACCAAGGCCACGTCACACCCTCTTGGTCTAAAAATGCAGTAAAATTTAAATTCATTGGGGCCAGCAGGTGATTTGGTGGTTAAAGGCACTGGATTCCCATATGGCCAAATGCAGTTCGAGTACTGGACCTGGTGGCTTGCTTTCTCACTTTCCATTTCCCTCTATCTCTCTAGTCAAATAAAAAATAATAGTAACAACAAATGGAATTAAATAAATACTTCTTTTAAAAAACCCTTAAATTCATTAACTTAAAAAAAATCTTATTATATACCATTCCTCTGGTGGGTGGGAAGGATGTCACACCAAACTATGAAGTAACAGAATGACAGATAATTTCAAAATGGTCTGGAGCTAGCAGGATGGGGAACAGTTGCCTTAGTTTAGTGGATGTGGCATGCCTACAACAGTACCTTTCTGGTAGTATTTGGAATTGTGGGTCCACCTGAATCCAGTGCAGAGGCCAAAATCTGTCAGTTTGATGTGACCATCCAGATCTATCAAAATGTTGTCAGGCTTGATGTCTCGGTGGATGAAGCCCATCTTGTGGACACTCTCGATGGCTAAAGTCAGCTCTGCAATGTAGAACCGGGCCAGGTGCTCAGGGAAGACCTCCATCCGGATCAGCAGGCTCATCATATCCCCCCCGGGGATGTAGTCCATCACGAAGTACAGGCTGTCCTTGTCCTGGAAGGAGTAGTAAAGTTTGACTACCCACTCATTGTCTGCCTCAGCCAGGATGTCCCTCTCGGCCTTGACGTGGGCCACCTGGTTCCGGTTTAGGACGTCCTTCTTCCTCAGGGTCTTCATGGCGTAAAGGGCATGAGTGTCCACTTTACAAGCCAGGCACACTTCTCCAAATGCACCAATCCCGAGGGTTTTTATTTTCACAAACATAGACTTATCCATCTTGGCCCTCTTCAGTCTGTTGTAGTTTGACTCCTTCTGGTAGAGGATCTTCCTCATCTGTTCCTGCTCAGCTTCACAGAGTCCAGCCTACAGAAGACAATCAAGGAAGAGTCATGTTGGAGAAATCTCAAAGCAGCAAATGACTGAGGCAGGGGATCCCCTGGAACTGAGAGGACCTTAATTTAATTTCCAGAAAGGTGTAAACAGAAGAATGTAACTAATACACTATAAAGTAATACTGGTTTCTTATTTAAAGACTTAATTTTATTTTTATTATTTTAATTTGACCAGAGAGAGACAGAGAGAAGGAAAGTAAGAAAGCAAGCCACCAGATCCTAGACTCGAACCGTGGTTGGCCATGTGCAAATCCAGTGTCTGAATCACCATGCCACCTGCTGGTCCCAAGATAATACTTCGTTTCGTTCTTTGTATACAGACACAAATCTAGAATCCACAGGTAAGACAAAATAGTTCTTTCTCCAGGTGACTTTAGGCTCTAAACACTAAGGGAAAACGCTACCAATAAAATCTGTGAAAGGGGGACCACAGCATTCCTAGAATTCCTAGAACAATCTAATATTTTAATAGCTAGGGAAAAAAATGGGAAAACAGAAAAAAAGTCAATAAATGAGACAGCAGGACGAATGCAAATATTTTTAGAGTGACATTTTAATTTAAATAATTTTATTAATAATTATTCTAGCATATTAGTGTCAATTAAGGTATATTTGAAAAATTATTAACTAATTAGAGCCCTTTCAGGCTACTAATTATAGATCACTACTGGATGTATTTTTCTTTAACAATCAAGTCATATCAACTTATAAAATCTCAAACTTTGTGTCTACTCTTTCAAAATGTTGTTATTAGTAAGTAATCCTTGATAATTTTTAAAAAATTTTTGCTGAAGGGCATGAGTGCTCACTGGAGAAAAACAGAGAGAAAAAGAGAAAAAGAGAGAAAGAGAGAGAGTGTGTCCCCACAAGGCGTGGTAATGCCACAATCTCGTTTTCTGCATTCCCCTCTCCTTTTGGGATTTCGGGAACACAAGCTCACTTGCCCAGTGTGATTTTCAAGCCACTGATCTGGGACTCCAACTGCAGTCGGCCGTGTGGGACAGAGTCGCCTTAACCACCACACTGCCAGCTGGTCGCTACTCTTGATGAATTTTGTGAAAGAATCAAGACACACCGTAAAAATCATTTACTCCTTTGCCTGTTGGCTACATTATGCACAGCTATTGCGGATTCCCAAGGGGTGGGGGGCCGGGGAATTGAGAATGGGAAGTCGCCATATCTGCACTTCTCCATGGGCCCACATTGTCACTGTTAAGGGTTTGTGATACAACAGAGACAGATAAGGGATTCTGCTACGCTTCCTATTACCAACTGAAGGACAAGCCAGGGGCAAATGGTAAGAATGCAATGAGGAATTACTTTGGCCATTTCTTGCTCCAATTGCAACCTCCGGTTGACTTTCTGCTGGTAGGTTTTTATGACATTCTCCACGTGCTGCTCCATGAAGAACTTAAAGGCATAGGGCGAGTAGCTCTTGATGCGTGACTCTCTCTTCTCCTCGTCTCTGCTGTTTTTTCGGACCGGAACAGGTGAGGTCTGGATCTGCTTCTTATCCTTCCCACCTTTGTCCCCCTTGGTGTTCTTGTGGCCCTTGTCACTTCTGTCTATGGGCTCGGTGGCTGGGCCAGCCCGCAAGCTCTGCTCCACACCTGTGCACAGGCTGTCCAGGTCATACTGCTCTGACTTGCTGTGAAGGAGCAGGTGCTTCGGGTAAGGTGGGGGTGGACACCTGCGGTCAGGGCTGCCATACTCGGCGTCCAGTGGGTAGGAGCCCGCACTACCCAGCGCTAGGGTGTGCTCCTCCTTGGCGTCCAGACCATCCCCAGCTGGGGCTGGTGCAGGCACCCAGGCAGGGTGGGAGGGCCCCACGGCTGTCTGAGGCTCAGGCCGCAGCACCCGCACGCTCTTCACCGGGTGCAGGATGTGCGCCGCTGTGACGGCTGTTACAGTGTTGGGGGCAGGCAGGGAGGGCTCGGCCTGGCCTGGTGCGACTGCCCGCGGCTGGTGGCTATTAAAGGAGTTGGTCCTACTGGGCACTGGGCCATCAGGCCGGAAGGCCACGTGCTGGCGAGGGGGCACTTCCAGGCCTGGCTTCTGCAGGGAGTCTCTGCGAGCCAGGGTGGCTGCCGGCCACTGCTGGACGGGGGCACTGCTCAGTTCATACAAGTCCACATTGAGGCTGTTCCTGGAGGGGGTAAGCAGGCTCTGGGGGGAGCTGTCCCCTGCGAACACCTGGCTGCGAGGGCCCAACACATGCAGTTGGTGGGGCGTGGGCCCCGAAGGCTTATGGTGCGGGTGCGGTGCATAGAGGCCGGTGGTAGGGGGTGGGAAGGCGAGGCTGGTGTTAGGAGGGATACCCTGGCCCTTGGCAGGGAGGTTGGGGTAGCCCCCGGCCTCTGGTGGCGTCTTGCTCTGGAAGGAGGGGCTGGGCTGCACCCCCAAGCCC